CTACCTCGTGCTCTAAGAACCCCTTCTCCTCTTTGAGACCCTTTGCCTCAAGCTGTAAAGCCTCCTGGCCTACCTTGAGGCTCTTCACTTCAAGTTTTAAGGCCTCCTGGCCTGCCTTGAGGCCGTTCACTTCGGCCATCAATCTGTCTCTCTCGTGAGCCAGCCCTTCCTTCCCCGCTAACAGTGCCTCGATGAAGTTCTTCTGGGCTGTGGCATCACTTTCCAACTGGTGGATTTGGCAGCGAGCTACCCTCAGATCGGCGTGGGTTGCGTGAGACGACTCCTTGGCAGCCAGAGCCCGCTTCAAGTGCCTGTCAGACTGAAGGGTCAGAGCGTGCATGGCAGTGTTCACCTAGCAAAAGAAGATCAGTTAGTACCGAAGAAAAAAAAAGAAATTTTTGAAGTGGAAGAACTTACCACCATAGCGTGGGTGGCAGCCCGGGCTCCGAGCTGACCAGGAGTGAGATCGGCCCAATCGGTGACCTCTTTGGGGTAGACAGCTTGCTTGCTTTTTTGGAGGCTGCATTGGGGGATCAGGATGTTATGTTCTTCCTCCTGACTCCCCGAACTGGAATATGCTGTCTCGGCTGCATGAGCAGGGTCCTCAGAAAATTCAGCAGCAGCCTCGGTAGGTTCAGAAGCCTCAACAGTGGGCTCGACAGGTTCACCGGTAGGCTCTACTGTCACCTCAGGCCCCCGAGATGATAGGTTTTCCTGCTCCAAGTCAACGACAGGAGGAGCATCAGGGAGCTCGGGCTCTGAAGTGAGGACCTGCGGGGGCTCGGGCTCGGGCTCGGGCTCGGGGGTGGGGGCCCGCGGAGGCTCGGTGCGCGCCTTCTTGGCAATTCGCTTCTTCCTCTTCATCTAACGGAAGAGCCTCTGCCCTTTGAGCTTCTCCGCTTCCATGGGACCTGCAACAGAGCTCGGCGTTAGAAGGCCGAAAGTACTTAACTATTTTAGCAAAGTACTAAGGTAAAAGTGAACCTACCCGGGCTCAAACCGGCTTGTATGAGCTTGTTCTCGGCGATATAGTCCTTGTAATCAAATCGGAGCCCAGCCCATGACTGGAGTGTCTCCCTTGTCTTCTTGTCAAGAATGATGCCGGGGTCCTGAGCAGCCGCTCTCCAGTTAGTGGGGAAGGGCCACCCCGTGCTGCTTCAGACTACGAAGTAGTCCTGCTTCCAGGCCGGGACTTTGCTAGGAAGCTTATGCAACAGTTTGAAGCCCGGGCGAGGGGACAGGTAGTAGGTCTGCCTGTGCTCGGGGAGAATGCTTGAGGCGCTCTTCTTTATTGACGAAATGAAACAAAATATGTCAAAGTCTAAGGGAAAGGCGTAGTCGAAGCAATGGGAGATAGTCCCGACCACATTGCGAATGGAGTTCGAGTGGAGTTGGTCTAAGGTGATGTTGAAGTGTTTCAAGACCTCAATGATAAGAGGGTGGAGAGGTAGGTGGAGCCCGATAATGAGCTATTCCCTAAAGATCACGATCTCATCTGGACCGTGCTCCCAATGGAAGTTACCCGCGGGCAGGCTATACGTGTACTCTTTGGGAAGGTTGTATTATTGGATGAGATACCGAATTCTCTCTAGAGTCATGATGGATGGACCAAACTTGTCTGGCATCCGACCTCGGTGAGAGGTGGACGCCTGGGTACCCGAGGCTTCCCATGCCTCGTAAGAAGGCCGGACATCGGCAGGGTCACCCTGAGCCGAGGTACCCACCTCGGGCTCACCTAAGAGACTACCCCCGCTAGACATGAAAAAGAAACGAGTTGGAAAAGAAAGGGAAGGCTCGGGGAACTCACCAAAAAAAGATGCTACCGGACTGAGAAAATGGGACGAACTGGAAGACCCGAGCTAGAGACCCCAGACGCGAGCTCAAGATGAAACGCAGAAAACATATGGCGTGGAAAATGGCCTAGGACCCCACTATTTATAGCCGCTACGCTCGGGCACCAATGGTCAAGATCAAGATGATCTGACGACTCTCAAGAAAACCAGCTACGAGACCCTCGAGGCGAAATCAGTTTAGCGTGTTTTTTGGCGTCCGCGAAGTCCAAATCGCGTGATGTCTGCGTGTAAGTTGTACGCATCCCGGGTTTCTTTTGATTGAGCCGCCCAGTAGACCGGTCTGACCAGCGAGTCACCTGGCAAGGTGGCATGAGCACCGAGCCAAATCTAGCCAGTGCACCGTGAACTCCCCGCACTGGGTCAAAACCCTCAGCACGGGGAGTGGGGGGCAATTGATGGAGGGTGATTTGGCCCGACCTCGTAGCACGGGGACACGTGGACATCACCTAGCGTAAGTGACGACTCAGCGTGACAACGTGGCAACGTGACCATAACTCGGCGTAAAAAACTCGCCGAAGTCTGACATGGCAACTCGGCGGACGAAACAACTCGCTGGGAAGTAACATCCAGCTCGCCCCGACCTCCCACCAAGCGGGGGGGGGG